CTCCAAGGAGGGACTGATGCTTCTCTTTTCCCCCTCCAGCAAATCATTCGTTTAAGAAAATTGAGTTCCAGCCTCCAGAAGCCAAGAAGTTCTTCAGCACAGTGCGGAAGGAGATGGCACTGCTGGCTACCTCACTGCCTGATGGCATCATGGTCAAGACTTTCGAGGACAGAATGGCAAGTGGGCTGGCGGGGCATGGCAGGGCCTGACACACCACCAGCCTTGGGCGCCTGGATCTTCAGAGCTGACCGGCACCTGCCAGCAGCCGCTCACTGCCCTCTTGGACAGGGAGGGAACAGTTCTGTCAAATGAGGGCTAACTCGAGTTACGCAGACCCATGGCCTGAGGTGGTTCTTTCCTCTTTCTTTAAAAATTAGCTTAAAATTAATTATATAATTACCCAAGTCTGCTCTTTCAGAAAAATCAGAACTTCAGAAAGAGCTCCAGTTGTCCTTAGCCAACCCTTGGGCCTCCTTTTTCCCCTAAAATCGGAGGCCCTTTCTCAATTCCCAGAGGACCTGACATTGGTGGATATCCTTTCAGATGACCTTTTTAAAGATAGTTTTATATTCTGTGTATCACCATAGCAAATAGTGTTTTGTACGATTTAGTTACACAAATCGTGTGGCACCTGTAGTTTGCTTGCTTTTCTTCATGTGGTAGTTGGTGAGACCTGCCCTTGGTGTTCATGTTGGCTCAGCTGGTTCCTCTGGCTACAGAATAGCATGTTCCATTTCCTGTTCCCCTGTTTGTGGCCAGGATCCAGCATTCTTCAGCCCTGTCAGGGAAGGCAGTGTGAGGAACAGACGGGGGACAGCCTACTGAACAACCCCTCCTCGGCCTCTGCTGTGAGCCAGGCCCATGCCAGACGTAGAGTTTGAGTTCAGGGCTCAGCTTGGGCCTTGTTCTGGAAGGAGCCAGAAAGAAAAAAAGAGGAGAGATCGTGAGAGTAGGGGCAAAGGGCCCCGCTCCGACAGCCACATGGCCAGGAGGTCCATAATAACACTTCTGTTTCTCTTGGGTTTTGGTAAAATTCCTTTGGAAAATCACAGCCAGTCTCAGCTCTGCTGAGGGGTGAAGGGAGCTGTATATTTCGTTACCGTTTTCTCCAAATCTCAGGGTGGCACAGGTTCCAGCATACCTGAGGGGATTGCGTTGCTCCAGCTAGTGCTTCACCCGCTCCATCTCTTCTTGCCCCTCACCCACGCCCCCCAGCCGTTGCTCTGGCAGTCATGGTGCGTGCTGGCACTCACACACATGCCCAGAACCCACATGCCATGAGCCAGCTCTTGAAACTACCAACCTTGTGGTCTCCCAGCACGTGCCCTGGAATCCAGATCCTCAGTGCCATCCTCTGGTTGAGAATACCCTGCCTCTGCCTCTAGCGCAGATGTTTACATTAGCGCCTCTGTTGCTGGTGGTGTCTGGAGAGCCAGGGCGGTGCTCCCCCCACTGCATCGCACAGTGCCCCGGCATGCCAGCTGTGCCCTCTCTCCCTTCTAGGACCTCTTCTCAGCTCTAATCAAGGGCCCCACTCGAACCCCCTACGAGGACGGCCTCTACCTGTTTGACATCCAGCTCCCCAACATCTACCCGGCTGTGCCCCCCCACTTTTGCTACCTCTCCCAGTGTAGTGGCCGCCTGAACCCCAACCTGTACGACAATGGGAAAGTGTGCGTCAGCCTCCTGGGCACCTGGATTGGAAAGGTAAGTGAGGCACCAGTGCCCTGGCTGGGGTGAGGGTCTGTCTGGAACATACTTAATGGCACTATGTGTGTTTCAGGGGACAGAGAGGTGGACGAGTAAATCCAGCCTACTCCAGGTGCTCATCTCCATCCAAGGTACGGCTGGGCCAGGCGAAGTCATGCTGGCTGGGAGTCTGGCCCTTGGGGTGGAGGTCAGACCCACCCCAATGGACTTCCCCTACCACTGAGGAAGGTGTCCTCCCCACAGGTCTGATCCTGGTGAATGAACCTTACTACAACGAAGCTGGCTTCGACAGTGACCGGGGCCTACAGGAAGGCTATGAGAACAGTCGCTGCTACAATGAGATGGCGCTGATCCGTGTGGTGCAGTCCATGACGCAGTTGGTTCGGCGGCCCCCCGAGGTCTTCGAGCAGGAGATCCGGCAGCACTTCAGCAGTGGTGGCTGGCGGCTGGTGAACCGCATCGAGTCCTGGTTGGAAACCCACGCCCTGTTAGAGAGGGCCCAGGCGCTGCCCAATGGGGTCACCAAGGACAGCAGCTCGCCAGAGCCACCTGCTGTGGCCGAGCTCTCAGACTCTGGCCGAGAAGAACCTGAGGATGGTGGAGTGGCCCTGGGAGAGGCTTCCCAGGGCTCAGACTCAGAGGGGGGCGCCCAGGGCCCGGCCTCAGCTAGCAGGGGCCGCACAGATCAGACTTCGGAGCTGGCGCCTGATGCATCCACACCACCCAGCGTCAAACCAAAGAAGCGGAGAAAGAGCTACCGGAGCTTCTTGCCTGAGAAGAGCGGCTACCCCGACATCGGCTTTCCCCTCTTTCCACTCTCTAAGGGTTTCATCAAGAGCATCAGGGGTGTCCTGACACAGTTCCGGGCCGCCCTGCTAGAGGCAGGCATGCCCGAAAGCACAGAGGACAAGTAGCCACCAGCCCTCAAGGAAGGAGCGTCACGGCAGGAGAGGCCAGCCGCTGCCTGCTCACTCCCTCCCCGGAACCTCTCTTCCTGGCCCGTCCCCAGTGCGAGCTTCCCACTGCCCCCTTCTCCCCAAGGCAAGTTTGATGCTGAAGTGCAAGAAGTGTCCCAAGATGCTGCGTTTCTGTTCCGAAACAGTCTTTGAACAGGCAGGTCCCCTGTGGCAAAGAAAACCGGAACCCAGTTGCGATTTTCTGCTTGTCACCCCAGGCAGAATGTCCCAACACTTGCTCCCTTGCTGTCCTTTTCTCAGGTCAGAGGTGGGGTGTTCCGGGGCCCTGCAGATGGGCAGGAGAGTGGATGTGCCTTGCATGAAGTATGGGCTGCTCCTGCAGTGTCCCTGGTCCCTTTTATCCTCTGCAGTTGGACTGTAGCGTCCCCACATCCCGGCTGCCGCCACCACTGGGACTCCTCGGTCCCCCGGCGTGAACACTATCCCATGGGAGCTGTAGCTGCTATCGCTGACTTCCAGCTCTGGCCTGTTTGCCGCATTATAACCCTTAGGCCTATTGAACTTGCTCTCTACAAGAGGTCAGGAGCAGGCTAGGTTCAGGGCGACACCCGGGAGAGGTGGTGGCGCTCACACCAACGTGGAGTCGAGGACAAGAAGCTTCTGGGAAAAGCAGCTGCAGGTGCCTCGCTTGCTTTTCCCATCCACAGCTGCTGGGGCACCAGCAGTTCTGGCCCAGGCCGTGCCTGTGGGGACTTCATAGACCTCTGCTCCCCGTCCAGTCTGCTCTCCAGCAAGGAGGCGGGAGCAGGGCCAGGCAAGCACTAGGGCCTCTCCCAGCCAGTGGCTCAGCCCTCTGCAGAATGAGAGCGAGGCCTTGGTAGCCCTGAGGCCTCGGTCCAAAGAGGGAGACAGGCTCAGTCCAGAGAGGGAGGCAGGCAGTAGCAGCAGGAGCTCACCCGCACCCCAATCTCCTACCCAGAGACAGGCGCAGAGGTTTACAAGTTTTCTAGGCTTTTGATAATGTGAAGCTCCAGGTTAAGAGAATGCTGTTGAGCACATTGCAGCTATGTAATTTCTGGTGTATGTATGTAATATTTAAGGTTGGAGAAAACTCAAAAGCAAAGATATTAACTCTTAATAGAAAAAAAAAAGACAAAAAAAAAAGCCAAAGCATGATTCGTCTTGTCAGCCTTAAGTGGGCTCCACACCTGTACTGTGCCAGGACCACCCGGGCAGCAGAGCCTGGGGAAGGACGGAGCTGGACCACACACCGCAGGACTCCCCGGCACCCAGACTGGCTATCTAGAGACACATCAGAGTGCCTGGGGGCTGTGCGTCGTTCATATGGAGATGTGAATGCCTACTGCTTACGATACCTGTATAAAGTGCTGTGTGATTAAACATTTTTTTACTTGCATTTTTTTTTTTTTTTTTTTTTTTTTGGTTGGCTCATTAACAAGACAAGGTGACACCATTAAACCTGCCTCTGCCGTTCATCTGGGCTCTCTTGCCTTTCTTCCTCATGTGCCAGTGTCCCTCATGGTCCCCCTCCCCAGGGAAGGCTTGTGACAGTGGGTCTGGGAGTCTCCCTGGCTGAATGCCTTTGACATCTCCGGTCAGAATCCCAGGGCTGGTAGGTAGGGTCAGACTTTGGATGGGTCAGTCCTCTTGCCTCCGGGCTGGGTGATGTTCCTTCCTTGAACAGTATTCCTCAGAAGCCAAGTGATAGCAGTGTCTGCCTCCAAACAGCTGTGTTCCCAGCAGCCGGCCTGACCCATTCCGCCAATTCCGGACTCTGGGGAGCTGACTTCACAGTCCCTGTGGCGGGCAGGTGTCACTCTCCTGAGCTGGAAGCCCACGTGGTTGCTCCGGAAGACTGGCATCTACCCCTCCCTGCTGCTTTGAACTTCTGCCCAGTGCTGCTGTACAGAATGTGATTAAGGGCGAGGCTGCTGAGTAGGCCTGGAGGAGCTGGTGTTCCCTAAGAAAACAGCCACCTGCCATTTTCACTGCTGAAATCCGTCCCTCGCTCCTTGCCAGTTTCCCTATTGCTTTTAACTCAGGTGTTGTCTTTTCCTGCTCAGTCCACACGAAGCTGCAGCCATGCTCAGCAGCTGGTTGTGTGACCAAAGGTCAGACAGGAGCACAGAGCCATGGCCTTCCTGGGTGTGGGTTCAGGCGGACTGCCAGGCTTGGGGGCCTCTTTGGGCTGAAGGTGGCCTGAGCATCAGTGCATAGGAATGCTTTGTGCCCACCACCAAGCTACTGCAATGCATCACCCAGTACAGTGGCACCATCAGTCATCTGCGACACAATGCTAAGGCCCCAGCTGGAGCAGCACCTCACCCCCTCCCCAGGACAGGATCAGCAGGCTAGGATCATCACTTTATTCGAATTTGATTCATGGAACAAACGCGACTGCCTTCCACAAGCAGCTAGCCCAGTCAGTGGGGCTCTTGCCCGGGGCTCCATTCTGGCCTCTGGTCCTCCCAAAGCAGAGTCTCCCCCACCTTTTCACCTTCTTCAGAAGAGTCCCCATCACCGCCAGGTGAGCTTGGACAGGCCCTTCCATCCAGGGTGGGAAGAGCCCTGATCTCAGCCTACGCCAGCAGACAAAGGCACTGCAGGGCCCATAGGGTCTATAAGGGCTTTTATGGGGGTGGCTTCTGCTGGGGCTCCTGGGGGGGTGGAGACTCCCTGCCACCACTGACCATCCAGAGGTAGTCAGGTTGCACCTGGCCCTGCACAGCCTCAGTGATCAATAACTCCCCGTCCACAGAAAACACACCCCTCCCATCCTTGCACTCCAGGCGAAAGGCAACCACAGGCACGTATACCAAGTACGGGCAGTCACACTCCATGTGCCTCCCGTTCTCCATGGCTAGGAAGAGGCGCAACAGCATGGTCCTCGATACCCCTGCGCGCACGTAGAACAGATGCATAACACCAGCCGCACATCGGCCCATGGGCGCGGTGAACATCTTGCTGCTCATGTGAGTGTGCAGCAGTGCCAGCACCAGCACAAACTCCTGCTCGGGCACCACAGTCCAGTGAGAGGGCACTGGTTCCTCCAGGGGAGCAAGGTGTGAGTCCACAGGGCCGCCCTGCGGCAGCACAGGGGAAGCGGGCGTCTTACTGGAGACAGCACTTCCTATGGGGAGGTAGGCCAGTTGGCCCCGGTAGGTGCGCAGGTTCACCAAGCGAAAGAAGGTGCCCACAGTGAAGCGCTTCTCCCCCAGGCACCGATACTTCTCACTCTCCACGTCCACATCAGCCACCATGCCCCAGGCCAGGCTGAGCACAGAGAAGAGGCGAATCCCCGGGGCCGCATGCAGGGACAGAAGGTTCATGGGCTCTAGGAGTCGGCGGCATAGCAGCAGTGTGCAGTTGGTCAGGAGATCTTCATTAGTCACCTGCTCATAGCTGCAGGAGAAAAGTCACATGGGGCAGGAGGCCCCCAGCCATCCTCCCCTTCCTCCTCCTGGGGAGCGGGAGCAAGCAAAACTGTGTGGTCCCTACACAGCTGTCCAGGACAGTGACAGCAAGTGGCTGGAGCCAGCCGGGGCCACCAAGAAAGCACCCTAGAAATGACATCCAGAAGAAAAGAGAATGGACACTAACTCAGCCGATAGCAACTTAGAAAAGAAAACCTGGCAGTAGGGGCACACAGACGGCACAGAGGCCCTGGACTCTCACCCAGCATAGTGATTCAGGGAAGCTGCCAGCGCGTTCCCAGAGCCTCCTGGGAGGCTGCACAGGGGCTTCTGGATGGCAGTCTCCCAGTCTGGCCTGTCCATAAGTCCATTCACCACCTGTCGGGGCAGGAGCGGCCTCAGTTCAGGCAGCACCACCCTGCCCCGCCCCTGGATGGTCTCTAGCTCAAATCTCACCTCATGTATCAGCCCGTCCCCAGACATGATCACCAGCGCGTCCCAGCGGCCCAGCTCCTCCGCCCTCACCAGCTCCCGCGCGTGGTTCTGTCGCTCTGATGGGAGGCTTGCAACTCTCAGGGCCGGGTTCCGCCCAGGGAATGCATACACCCTCGCCCAGAAGGGGGCGTACTCACCAGTGACCATCAGCTTGAAGGAGACTTCGGCTTCGGCCAGAAGGGGCTGCACAAGCCTCTGGAACTGCTGCAGCGCCTTGCCCTTGCCGCCGCGCGGGTTCAGCAACACCAGTACGCGGCAGGGGCGCGGGAGCGAGCCCTGGGCGCTGCCGCCCGCTGTGAAAAACAAACCCGAGAGAGTCGCGTCCCCAACTGGCCACTGGGGGCTGAAGAGCGCAGCAGTGGCACTGGGGCTGAAAGCGTGGCTCCTGCAGCACCTGATAGGGAACCCAGCTGGAGGAAGCGGCCTCCGAGAGGAAATCCCGGGTGGGGCACGGCGCCCCTGACACCCCATTTCCTTGGCTCAGGCCCGGCCGGCTTTTGGCCTCATGGGGAAAAGTGTTTCTCTTCTGTGTCCCTAGCCCCTCTCTTTTGGCAGTCTATCATTTTTTGGAGAGGGAGAGCGGATCCCCTACAGCCCTTCCCAGTTAGGTCCCCACAAACCTGGATCCATGGCCTTGCCCTGCAGCTCCCGCGGCCAGGGGGTCCCCGGCGCTGTCAGGGAGCTGCCCTCCGTGACAGCGGATTCTGTCCTCAGCTCCTTATCGGTTCGGCGCAGGAGGGCATCGCGGGGCTGGTTGTGGGGCTCGCCCTCCCCGCCCAGAGCTGGGGCTCGGGGGACACCCGCGTCATTCCCTGCGGCGTCCAGATCTGAGAGATAGGAGGGGACAGCGCTGGCGGAGTCCCGGGCCACGGCTCCTGAGCATAGGGTGAGGGCACGGCCAGATCCCCAAGCCTCGCGCGGGCAGTTGCGCGCTGCTGAATTGGCATAAGCCCGCGGGTCCGGGACCTAGCTTTCTGAAAGGCCCAGAGAGCCGAGGTCCAGTGCCACCACAGGACTGAGCCCCACACTTCTAAGACGAAGGGTATCTTTCTGGGGACTTTCCTCTTTGAGTTTCGCACTCTGGCCCGATAGATGAGTCAGGGCCCAGTGGCTCGGTCCGCCTGAGGATCTCCTCACCCTGTGAGGCTGCCAGGGGAGTGGAGTCCTGATTTTTATCCCAGAATCTGAGCTGACAACACAAGGCACGAAGTTCGGGGTGAGGATCCCGGCCGCAGTCAGCCGCGTCGCCTCCTTCCCAGCGCCGGATTCAGAGCTGCTGGGGCTGCTGCGCACTCCTCAGGGACACTCGCCGCAAGTGGACAGGAAGCTGCACGGTGCGTGGCCCAGCTCTCTCCTGTGGGCCGCCCAAGAGCCACCAGTCCCGGGAGGGCAGCGAGCGCAGCCCTTCTCAAGGGGACTGGCTGGCTGTTGCGCCCACGCCATTCCCTACAGTGGCCTGGGGCGGAACGCAGCTTCCTAATCCCGGACTCAGCCCCACTACTGAGGGACAACTGAAGCGCCAGCTGGCACAGAATCCCAAGCCTTGCTGCCTCCGGCCTCGAACTTTTCGCAACTTTGTGGCGCGGCGGAGCGGGGAGGGCACTGTGCCTGGGGGCCAGCTGGCCCCGCCCCGCCTTCTTCCGGCGGGGAAGGGACCTGCGGGGAAGGGACCTGCGCTCGGCGAGACCTAGGTCTCCCACCCCTAGCTTCCCCGGGCGTCCCCGGCACTGTCCCCCGCCTGCGGTTCGCCTACGCTCGGCGAGGGGAAAAAAGCCGAGGCCGTGAATCCCGGGAACGGCGCGCCCGGGACGCAGAATTCCAGGCGCACGAAGATGAGCAACCAGCACCGGAGGAGGAGCAGACCTTGTGCAAGCTTCCCTCGGTGCGGACTTCCGCGCGGACACTGGCCGTGCGTGGCTTTGTGCTCGGGCAAGATCCAGAACTGCACCCAGACGTCGCGACCTAGCAGCTCCCTGCGCTGCTAGCAGCCACGAAGCAGGGCGCCTGCCCCAACCCAGCAGAATTCGAAGCCCATACCCCGCCCGGCGCCCACCCCTCCTCCAGGCCGGGAGGTGTCGTGCCCCACCCCGCCTCCCTGCACGGGCTCCCCTCTCTTCCTCCCTTGCTCTCCCGCCAAGGGTTATTTTTCGTTTCCTGATCAGCTCATCACTAAGCCCGAGGGAGCCTGGAGCCCCGTACCAGGCAGGGCTGGACTGGCTGCGGGCCCCGAGCCTGAGTACTAGATAGGGAGGACGAAGATTTGTCAGCAACCTTAAAAGTTGGATCTTTTCCCCAGGGTGCATTGTCGAAGCTCACCTGGACCAGAGAAGCTGCTTGCAGCGGGCGATCAGATCTGCGCTTTCCGCCCGCTGGAGAGGAGTCTGGCAGAGTGGACGGGCCTAGGGGTCCCGGCCGATATTGGAGAGAGCAGCATGGAGGGCGTGGTCCCGTCGCCCCAGCCCCTCCCGCTGGTTCCGCGGGAAAAGCGGAGGCGAACAGGGACGCGTGTGTCTGAGTGTGTATGTGTATGTGTGCGTGCGCGCGCAAGCGCGCTGCATTTCAAGGTAAGTGACCTGAACGTATCCGCGACCAACTGGAGTTAAATCCCTGGAAGGTTATTTGCGTAGACTGAAAGAAAGAAGTTGCCAAGGCCGAGTAGGTGACCTGACCAAGTAGGGCAAGATTTAGAAAAAAATAACCCCTGAAGGAGGCTGAAGAGGTCCCGGCCCGGCTCCAGGGGGCTCACGCTCTCACATCGGCGCCCACCCGCCCCCCACACCCTTCTCTGCTCATCGCTTTGTCCGGTCGAGAAGAGCCGGGTCCCGGAGCAGCGCGGAGCCAGTTAGCCTCGGTGGTTTCTTCTCATCCAGAGGACCCGGTGGGCTGGCCTCATTCCCACCTTTTGGAGGTCCCCGGGCGGACAAGGGGACGCGTAGCCTGGGACTCTCCAGCCCTGGACCGGCGGGTGCGGAGCGTCCCGTGCGCGCTCGTAGATGGTGACTCAGCGACGCGCTCGCGAATGGAGAAACTCCCGGAAACAAGAGATGGAGGAGGGGAGGGGACAGGGGCATCGTCACCCATCCCAGAGCCGCGGCGCAGGTCCGCTGGGATCCAGTCCTGCGTCCCGCCGCCCCCGACACCCCCACCCTTTGCGGGCGGGGGAGGGGCAGCCAGGCAGCAGCAGCGCCGCGGTCACGCGCAGCGGGGAGGCGAGCGGCGGCGCGGGAGGCAGCTCTGTGCGGGAACCACTGGCCAGATCTGCCCGCCTCTCCCTTCTGCCCGGCTCTCTCTCCATGTCCACTCCGGGTCCAGACTTTGGCTCGTAGAAGCCGCGAGTAGGAGGCAGTGTGCACCCCAAGATCTCAGCCTTGGAGGGGGTTGGCTGCGGAAACCGGCCGGCCAGCCGCACCACCGCCTTCCGCATCCCGGTTCGGCTCGGGAGGACATTTCCAGTCTGGCCTGAAAAGCCAGCGTCGCTAAGGTTGAAGAGGGGAAACTGAGGCACAGGGACGAAATCCTTGTGCGTGAGTTTACGACGCTTGCCTGGGGCAGGGTTCCCCTTTTTCTCTCAGGGCCCCAGGCTGGAGGCCTTGAGTCTGTGGAGCTGGCAGGGGCGGAATTGACTGGAAACAGTTGGTGAGGGAAGGTGGGGCCGCATGTGGGCTCTTTATCCCTCGGCCTGCGCCCCCTCCCTTCCCAGCGCGGAAGTCCCAGTGGCGGGGAGGCAAAGATCAGAGCCCTCTGGCCCTTGTTCCGGTGTGCACAATGCCTCCTCTGTCCTGACTGCCCCCTCACCCCTTGGCCCCCTTACCTCCACGGCCTCTGGCTCTGTCCTCATCTTGTCAGTCGCCTCCCCCATCCTGGCTGAGTTTTGCAGAGCCCTTTCCCTTGTTCTTTGCCTAAAAAACATTATCCTATTTCCAAAATCTTACCCAGGTGTATCCCAGGCCAAGCGACAGGATGGAACAAGAGCAAGACGCTGCTTTGCTTTTGATACATGGGAACACAAATCCAGAGAGGTGCGGATCTCCCCCAAAACAGACCCCTCGTTCTCCGGTGGAGTCCAAGAAGCAAACCCCCAGTGTGGGAGGCCAAGTCCTGCCACAGCCTCCCTGTTGTTCTAGGGCGCCCTAGGTGTGACTTCCCATTCTGAGAGCTCCCTGCATACTGCATCTGGGTTGGCCATGCCAGGTGCTGGGGCTGCCACACCCTACCCAGAAGTCCCCGGGAGCAGATGGGCCATGGAGAATTCTATGACTCCAGTAGCTTTTGCCCGGGTTTCTGTTGCTCTGAATGGCGTCTACTCTGGGCCTGTGCGGGCTGACCCCTTGCTGGTATTCTTGCTGAGGCTGGGGTCTCTGCTGAGCCTTTAGTCTCTGCCTTCCACTGCCTCTCACCAACCTTCAGGCCTGTCAACCCTGGCTACAATTCAGGGTCATTACTTCCAGAACATTCTCTTCTTTTTCTTTTTTGTGGTCCTGGCGACCAAAAAAAAGGACCTTCACACTGAGCTACAACTCCAGCCCTTTTTTATTTTTTTATTTTGAGACAGAGTCTTGCTAAATCGATAATTGCCTGGGCTGGGTTCAATTTGCATTCCCCTGCCCCAACCTCCCAGAATGCTGGGATTACAGGTAGGTGCCACTGCACAGAGAGAGTGGGGGGAGGGGAGAAGGAGAGAGAAGGAAGAGAGGAGAGTGCATGTGTGCACGCTAGATTGAACCCAGAGGCTTATGAATGTTAATCATAGCTCTAGCCAAGATTTGTTGTTTAGATTTAGATGTGTTCTGCATTACTGTGTTGTTGCTGTTGTTGTTGTTGTTTTGTTTTGTTTTGAGACAGAGTCTCACTTTGTAGTTCAGCCTGGCCTTGAACTCACTATGTAGCCCAGGCTGGCTTTGAACCCTCAACGATCACTCCTACCTCATCCTCCTGAGTGCTGGGATTACAGACATGGCACACCACACCTGGCAGCATTACCATCTATGGACATGTTCTTTCTCAGTGTAAATGGGAGGGGAAACCAATACATTTTTAGGAACTTACCATGAATCACTGTTTCATGTTTTCATGGGAAAATGGACTCGGTGTGCATATGTGATCCTGTGTGACAGGAAGTGGGTGTTAGGAAGCCAGGGCTACCCTCCTCCAAGTTTTGCTGGGGTGCAGTCTGTTGGGAAGACTTGTTTGTATTTGCAGCCAGACTCCCCCACTGTTCTGGCTACCTTGACCTTCAGATCCTGGATTCTACCTTGGCTTATGGCATCTTCAGCTTCCTGAGCAGATGGGTTTATTCCCCAGTCCTTGGAAGAAGAGCTGGGTTTTTCATTGGATGTTGTATTAGGCACCTATTTCTGTACAGATTTAAAGCATCACAAACATATTATCTTACATTTCTGGAGATCTGAAGTCTGCAGTGGAGCTGAGGGGCTGTGTAACCTGGCCTTTTCTAGCTTGTAGGGACCACCTGCACTCATTGGCTCAGGACCCCTTCCATCGCTTGCAAAACCAGCCAAGTATTGAGTAGCATCTTCAAATCTTATCTCTGCTGGCTTCAGTTTCCAGCTGTCAAATCTCCTGCCTCTATTCTACAGGGAGCCTGAGATTGCACTGGCCCCATACAGATAACCTAGGGTAATCTCCCATCTCAAAAAGCCTTTTTTTTTTTGGTACCGGGAATCAAACTCAGGACCTTGTGCTCATCAAGCAGACACTTGTACCACTGAACTATATCCCTAGCGCTCAAAGTCCTTAATCACTCCCAAAAATCCCTTTTGCCCTATAAGGTAACATATCTGCAGGTTCCAGGGTTATAACATGGACATCTTTAGGGGCCGTTATTTTGCCAACCACAGATGGTAGGGAAATAGCCTGGGAATCTAACTTGGCTCCAGAACCTTCTCTTCCAGAATCTTCTTTTCCAACTCCCTTTCCCCAGATCTACCCAAGCAAACACAAACCAGGACCTTGCTTTCCCCTAAATGAGCATTTGTGAAATAAAGTTAAAAACACCTTGGCTGGGAATAAAGTTAAAAACATCTTTGACATCATTTTGTAGACTTCGTGGGCTTTGACTCATCCAGAACAAAGAAAATTGGTTTCCATTTCTGAAAATTACCTAAGAAGGAGAAATGGACATCTTTATTAAACACAGTAATTACAGGATTGCAAAAACCTCAACTTCCCACATGAGGAAGGGTTGGAAGCAGACCAGCCTATCCATTTTCAGCCTGGCAGAATTCCCCACAGTGCTTTGCAGGAAGGGTATGCCGCCTGGACACGGCTCCTTGGGCACCCATGGAAATGTGTGGCCCTCCCAGCTCCTGTCATGTGACCTGGCAGTCCAGCGCTTCTACTCTTCTGTGGCAAGGCTGGACTACTCAACCTTACCGAAAGCCAAAGCCCTCAGGAAGTGTCATGCACTGGGAACATCCCATGGGGTCCAACTGACATCAGCTCCTGTTTGGGCCCAAAGTGGGCTCTGGCCCAGCCTCTGATGCCCAACCCCACATCTTACCCTTGTGAGGGGATTGCTGCACCCCTTCCTGTGTGGACTACAGCCATGCTCCATTCCATCCAACTCTGCCTCTCCCTCAGGTGCCCACAGATGCTGGTCTGGAGACCTTCACAGAAGCCAGTCTGCACAACTGAGTGTCATGCCCGGGCCTGGGAGACCTGAGGACCAGAAAGCCAGACCTGACATCTCTGAACTGGGAAGCAGAGCTGCTTTTACCTCTCATCTGCCCAGCACAGATCTGGCAGCTGAGGGGATGGGTGTGTGCGCGGTTTTCCAGGGGCTTTTTGTTTTGGATTATTTTCCACTTTTGAATCTCTCAAAAGCAAAACCATGTCCTTGGGTGGTTCCCAAAGCAAACAGAGAGGACTGGGCCTGGCCCCAGGACAGGCCGCGCCTTGCTGATGACCATCTGAGGCTGCTTCCATCCACCTGAGGGTGGACCCCTGAGGCTTTGGGGGATGCTCCCTGGCGGCCCCCCTCCTCTTCCCTTTTACCCAGACACAAAGCCAGGCCAATTTCCTCCACTGAAGCCAATTAGTAGGGGAGCCAGGGGACAAAGGAGGGTGCCCGTGTCCAATTTCACCAAGCTAGAAAAAGACAGGGAGCCTGGAGCGTAGTTTGCCTGCGCCTCCACTCATTATCCACATCCCCAAAATAGAAATTCCTCTTCTCTGGAGGCTCGCTTTCTGAAGGTCAAACCCTTTGAAACTTTCCAGGCACAAGCCTGGTAATTTAAGTAATGATTATGCAGGATGGGCTGGACAGCTGGCTGGGAATGGAGCATTGCTCCGGACAAGGGTTGCCGTCGCCTGACCCCGCACCTTTGTGCCGCAGGGAAGGATGCTGGGCAGATCTAGTGTGACAGGAGAGCCCTTTCCAAAGGCAGAGTCCCCAAGTCCTATTTGCTCATTGTCCTCAAGTCCTGTGACCGGCATCTTGAGAATGAGTTAGGATGTCATTTCCCCTTCAAGGCACCATCAGATGATCCCGGCTGCCTCCTCTAAGAGTGGAATTGAATCACGGTGCTGGGGGTGTCTTTCAGTGGTAGAGTACATGCTTAGTATGTGTGAGGCCCTGGTTCGATTCCCAGTATCATACATATACACAGAATTGAAGACGGTGTGGGTAACCAAGGGAATACCTGCCCGGATGCTGGAGATTTGGGTTTTTAATGTTTGATATTTTAAGGCTTGCAAACTAATCGGTTCATGAAAAAATATTTATAATACATACTTAAACCAAAACAGAAAACCTGGAGCGTGTTCTAGAGCAGGGAGAATGATACCCGCCTCTCTCTCTCTTTCTTCCTCTCTGTCTCCCTCCTCCTCCCTCCCTCTCTGTCTCCTCCCTAAAACTGCAGTCAGCAAGGTTCTGCACACAGGAGTCCTCAAGCGCTGCTCGCAGGCTGACCTCTCCATCTGCATCCCTCTGGCAGAGGCCACAGAGCCCCCAGGGGAAGATGCTGCATCTGGACTCCAAGTGCCCCTG